ACACCTCTGTGTGCATTTTTGTAAGCAACGCGTTTGGTTTAACAGATAGGTAATTTTAGAAGGTGAGTGATGAAGACATGTCTTCACTGTTATCTTCTGTGAGTCCTTCCACTACAGTTTCCTCTGCCACAGGAATGGAGACATCCTACATTAATGTGAAGTATCTATCAACAGTTTCCTAGCAGTAGTAGCTATCACAGTGTATCTATTTATCTGTTGCGTCTGCAGGCATACCAGCAGAAACAATTACTGCCTTCCAGATGTTTCTGACAGAAGGCTGACATCTCCTGCAGTCTGCTCTTGTCTGACTGTTCTGTAATGGTTATTCGTCACAAGAAGCTTAAGTAATTTAAGCGGTGATCATTTCAGTGTCCTGTGTTCTGTGCCTTTTGGCAGGTGGAAATGACAGTGGTGGCACAGCTGTGTCTGGAGGAGGTGCAGGTACAGGCAGCACTCTGTTGTGATTCAGGTGGAAGCTAAGCCCTTACTTGTATTGCCATTCCTATCCTCCTTCATAGATGTAACAATAATGGGCATATTGAGGGTAGAAAAACAGTCTAAGCATTCACAAAAGTAAGTGTGTTACTGAGAGAACTGGTATAAGAGCATCAGAACTGGAAGGGAGAGTATGCTAAGGTATTCTGAAGGTAAGCACTCATATAGCCAGGGCTCCTGGCCCTAAGCTTTGGGGTGATGGAAGCTGGGAGGGTAATACAGGCCACAGCAACCTTTCTGGTAGCTGAACTGGTAAATGAGTAGAATGGATTGTATGACAGCATGGGAAATTAGAAAGAAAAGCTAATTGTTTAAATTTTGTGTGCCTTCTGTCGATGTCTGACTGACATCAGGTGTTAGATCTTTTGAACTTGTCTAGCAGTAAGCTGTTGCCAAAATGAGTTTTTTTCCCCATGCTTTTTCCTCCCTGAAGTGCACATTTTCTCCCTTGATCCTTGTGTTTAAACTGGCAGCCTTGATGACCTTGCCAGAGGGGTAGCTTAAAAGCTTGATCTGCAGGAGGCTGCACCCTATTGTTGGTGTGTGCAGTTCTGGTGTCCTCAACATGAAAAGGACAGGGAACTGTTGGAACAAGTCCAGATGAGGGCCACGAGAATGATCAGGGGACTGGAGCACCTCCTGTATGAAAGACAGGCTGAGAAAGTTGGGGCTGTTCAGGCTGGAGAAGAGAAGGCTGCGTGGAGACCTCATAGCAGCTTCCCAGTATCTGAAGGGGGCCTATAGGGATGCTGGGGAGGGACTGTTCATTAAGGACTGTAGTGATAGGACAAGGGGTAATGGGTTAAAACTTAAACAGGAGAAGTTTAGATTGGATATAAGGAGGAAATTCTTTCCTGTTAGGGTAGTGAGGCACTGGAATAGGTTGTCCAGGGAGGTTGTGAATGCTCCATCCCTGGCAGTGTTCAAGGCCAGGTTGGACAGAGCCTTGGGTGATATGGTTTAGTGTGAGGTGTCCCTGCCCCTGGCAGGGGGGTTGGAACTAGATGGTCTTAAGGTCCTTTCCAACCCTAACTATTCTATGATTCTATGATTCACGGTGTCAGGGTGGTCCTTGAAGTGGCTTCCCCTGAGGCTGGAGTACAGGGACAGGCTGGTGCAGGCGAGGTGGTGGGAACGCAGGAGGGGGAGTGTGGAGAGGAGAGCTATGGGAACGGAGCCCGGGCCTTCAGTGGCAGGTAGCCATTGAGCAGTTTGTTGGATATTTTTGTGGTATCATAAAGTGTTAATGAGCCTTAATGTGAATTAAATTGTTAAGCTCCTATGGGTTGAGAGATGTGAAACTATGAGAGTTGGCCTTCATAGCATAAACCAGTAAATCTGACAGGGAACTTAAGTAGTTTTTCTTCCTTTTCAGCGTAAGATGCTAGCAAGCCCTGTATCATAAAAGACAAATAGAATAGAAAGGTAAGGTTTGAAGCTAGTAATGTGTACAGATTTTCCTCCCTTCCCCCCCTTGAAATAACTGTGTGTGTGTGTGTGAGGGAAAAGTATTCACTACAATAACAAATGAATATTGCAATTTGATGGTAGAGGGAGCTAGATAGGTTTTAAAGATAGGAAGGATCAGTATCGCTGATAACTTTCTAGTCTCATGTATAAGTGATAATTTAGATGAAAATACAGCTTCTTTCACCTTTTAAAATCTCTAGGCAGCTTTTTTTTTGTTTAATTTTGCATACAGATATTGTTAGGAGTCTTTTATACTTTGTATTTTTGTCTAAGAAGAAATAAATTTTAACCTAATGCTTTTGTGTCTGTCATTAACAGCCTGGTGGTATTGCCACTACAGATTCATCTTTCCCAGTCCTGTTTCATTTGCTATTCAGGAGACAATAGGCTGCAGTTTGATGATGATTTCTGATCATTCTGTGTTCTGCATATGTGTTTGTATACTTCAGCCAAAATGATGATACACCTCTTTTATTAGGATCATGTATCTCAATTACCTAAATACTTGCCTATTTTGTGTATCCTTAGATCTAATAAAAGGTATAAAATCTCCTTTTCTACCTTATTTATAATGTTAATTTCATTTTCTGCAATATATGTTTGTAACTTCAGTAACAGGAAGGAAATAGTAATTAAAAAAAAAATATCCTGTTATTATAGAGAAGGATAAAAGCCTAGATCTTCCTAGGCAGGCAAAGAGCAAATCAGTTGTAGACAAGCTGAGTTTGGTCTTTATTTAAAGTGTTAGTAGATGTATATACCCAAGAACTGCTAAAGGGCTGGAAGGGAGCTGTTTGATCCAGCTGCAAGTCTTTCTCAACCAGAAGTGAAATGGAGCATTGCAGTATGCAGTGAAAGCCTGCCCTTTACCCTGTGTAACTCTTGGCAGTGTGCTTTGCATTTACTTGCGGAGCAAACGTTTTTGGAGACTGTTTTCATTGCGTTTTCCCATCTAGAGCTATATTCAAGTTCCCTTTATCTCCACTCTTTCATCTCTGTGCAGTTACAGGCTTAGGTTTTGTGTATGTGTGGCTTGTAGGTATTTTGTGAGGGTTGTGACCTTTCACTTGCACATGAATGTTTCATGCTCAGTTACCTAATTTTAGTCACAAGAATGTATTTTTTAAGACAGAAGGGCCATTGTCAATTGTACCGACTAGAACAGAGGATATCAGTCAGTGATTTCCACATGAACTTTGTTGTCCCAGATGGATAGATGTGTTAGGGTGGCCAGAGTTAGCCAGTGAGCTCTCTGGATCATGGGGAGGTAGCAGGAAACACCTGTATTTTTTGGAGTCCTGTGTGGTTTTGGTGACCCTATGTTATGCTCAACTACTATTTCACTCACTGAATTAAGGTCCTGCTTACTCTTTTGTTGTTTTGTTTATTTATAAACTGGAAAACTGTTCTGATATTGGAATAAATGTCCCAATGTGCTCTTAAATCAGTCTTTCTTAATCCCTGCCTTTTGAATGTTAAACTTTAGTGTTCACCCTTGTAGACTCTCAGCTTCATTCTAGAGATGGAAGTCCGTGTCTTGGCCTCTTTTTTTGAACTAAAACTTTTGGGTGTTTTTTTGGTGTGTATTCCCTTCAAAGTCCCTTCTTTTAAAATGAAGACATTTGGGTAGCAGCCTTGCTTGCATTTCAGTGCATTAGTTTATCACCCGAGGCTTCTAAGAAAGTAGATGATGAGGGTTTAAGTAGCTGCTTTGTTTGGGCATAGATGTTTTGTTGTTTTTTTTTTTTTCTTTTTTTAACTTATTTTTTAGTATGTATTGCTGTTCATTGAACCCTTAGAGTGTACTGGTCATCTTCCTGGAAGCCTTGCTTTCTATTGATATAAAAGCTGCAGATTTCCTTCTTGGCTGTGTCAAAAAGAGAAAACTGGCCTGTGGCAGGGAGGCAACTGTCTTGTGCTGTGCACAGGCTTGCATCTAGAGTCTATTGCAGACAGGTAATAGCTGACCAGGAGGAAAGACTTCAACTGGTTGCCTAATCTCCTCAGATTTTGTTTGCTTGTTTTAAATATTGGTCTTTTTAAAATTGCATCTGATCTCTTGGCTTATGAGTGAGCACACTTTCTGGTAAAATTTGGACTTTGAGGGTGAAAAACAAACTGTACCTTTAGTTCTTGCTCTGACTTTAGTTATTCAAAACCCCACAAACAGCACCACAAACAAAAATCAAAACTAAGATCAATCTTGCAAGACTCCTCACACAAAATTAGGATTGTAGTAATAAAAAGTAACTTTTCTCCTGTTTAATCAGATGTGATTATTGCACTGTGGGATAAAGAGTTTTCTAATGGCAAGTTATATTAAAGCATTAAAGTTACTTGAGAAAGTCATGTTTCTGCTGAAAGTAATTGAGGGGGCTTCAGAGACTGTAAAGTTTGTTATTTATGTGGTTTATAAAAATCCTTTTCAGGAACTGAAACTCTCTGCAGCGAGTATTATTTTTTTCAGAAGTAGTAGCAAAAGTATTTCTGGTCATTAGCTTCATAATGTTCTTTTCAGAAAGGAAAGAACATTCTGCAGCCCCAAATGCTAATTCTTTTATACTTGCATAGTCCTTGAGAGTATTTATACAGAAGTTCCATGTTTTGCACTGGCTGAGGTACTTTCAAAGGTGAATGTGCACTAAGGCAGGTTTGCTAACTTCTCAGATTAACAGGTAGTGAACTGTGCTTTGCAGTGGAGTAATTGCCTGGAGAATTTTTTTCAATGAGAAAATCAGAAGTTCACTCTATCGTACCATATGCAGTTCACAGGGTTGTAAGAACAGAAGACATCTCAGAATGAAGAACAGAAATTTGCTGTCTTCATGTCACCCTTGTTTAGGATGAATGGTTTGGGTTGGAGGAAATCTTAAAGGTCATCTAGTTCCAACCCCCTGCAATGGGCAGGGACACTTCTCCAAGCCACGGCCAACCTGGCCTTGAACACTTCCAGGGTGGATCAGCCACAGTTTCTCCGGGCAAGCTGATTTTCTTTCATCTGGGTGGTTAACTTATTTACAAATATTTACTTGTAGGAACATTCTGTGCAGAAAAAGAAGAAAAAGGATAAGCATTCAAAAAAAACTAAGAAAGAAAAGAAAAAAAATAAGAAACAAAAATCTGAAAAGAAGGATGACGTACTCGATAGTTCTTCGGTAAGTAAGACACTTTAAAATGCTTCAAACAACGTTTTTAAAACCTGTGGCATTTTAGCCTCTGTGGGCACACATGGTTAGTAAAATTACTCCTTATTCTTACCATTTTCTTTTGGGAAAAATTGTGGTAAAGTTTGTCTTTTTAATGTACTATTTAATCAATTTAAAAGTTGCTGTTATAAGTGCTTGTGAATTTTATAATACTTTATTCATTCATTAGGATCTAAGGAATTTATAGTTTTTTAGCAGAGAGAAATTGAAGAAAATCTTCATTCTAAGGTACGAGTGGAAAAATTCGTGGGTTTCTTGTAGTCAGTGGTAAATGGCAGAACGAGGTGTCTAAAACTGCAAGCACTTGACTTCAGTTTTAAGCATGAGTTACTGCTGCGTTTTTCCATGGAAACACTCAGCAACATGGGAGTTGTATGTGGATCTGAAGGAAGGCTAAAACCTGTGCATTTGAATCTGTAAGCAGGTACCTTCATATGGAGAGCCATTCCGTCAAAACGCTACAGTGACTTTTAGAAATCTGGATGTTGCTTTCTGGCAGCATTCTGTCGAGCACCCTCCCAGTATTTCTGTGCAAGTCAGCACTGTGATTTATTTTATTTATTTTATTTTATCTCATTTTATTTTATTTTATTTTATTTTATTTTATTTTATTTTATTTTATTTTATTTTATTTTATTTTATTTTATTTTATTTTATTTTATTTTATTAATTTTATTTTATTTATTTTATTTTTTTTTTTTTTCTCTTTGCAGACAGTCTCTCTTATTGAGTGAAGGAACATGCAGTATGAAATCTATTTTCTGGGGACTGGTATCAGAGGTTAACTATGCTTTTCAGTGTGGGAAGTAACCTAAGGCACAAATGTCCCACATTTCCCACTGGAGTCATCAGAATCCTTCAGATCACGTCAGTGAGTTCTAGGCTGTCACTGGCTGATACCTTCAAACCAAAGTCTGCTATTCCCATGACAGGTTCATGTGAATAGCAAAGAAACTGTTCAGTGGAGTCCTATTTGCTTCTAGTGTGAAATATCAGTGTAGTTTGCAAGTGTAGGAAGTTGGATATGAAAACAGGAGATAGCATGTACAGTGCTTTATATTGTACTGTTACTGATTTTACATTTTAATGTAAAATATACTTTGTAATGAATTTAGATTTTTAAAATTTTGGGTTTTTTTTGTAATGTCATAAAAGCAATTAGTTTGGGTTTTATTTTTAATCTGACAGCTTTAACTTTGGCAGTGTTATGCTAATAAAAGGTCAGTATAAGCTAGTGTTATGTACTGTAATATATATGGTGGAATGTTTTGATCATGAAGGATCAATCTCCTATGGGAATATCAATATTCTGTTTTTATTATCATAGAATGGCTTTGGTTGGAAGGAACATTAGAGATCATGTAGCTTCACCCCACCTGCCTTGGACAAGGGCACCTTCCACTAGGCCAGATTGTACCAAGCCCTGTCCCACCAGGTCTTGAACATTTCCAGGGATGGGGCAACCACAACTTCTCAGGGCACCCTGTTCCAGTCTCTCCACCCTCATAGTGAAGAATTCCTTATGTCTAATCTGAATCTACCCTCTTTCAGCCATTTCCCCTTGTCCTTATAAAAAGCCTCTCTCCACCTTTCTTTAGGTACTTTCTCCAGGCCCCTTTAGGCACTGGAAGCTGCTTTAAGGTCTCCCTGGAGCCTTCTCTTCTCCAGGCTGAGCAAGCCCAACTCTCTCAGCCTGTCTCCACAGCAAAGGTGTTCCAGTCCTCTGATCATCTTTGTGGCCCTCCTCTGGGCTCACTCCAACAAGTCCATGTCCTTCTTATGTTGGGATCCCCAGAGCTTGTCGGTATTTCTAAATAATAAGCAGAATTATATTAGTAATGCTAATCAGGATCAATATTGATTATCAGTATACTTGGTAAAGTATTGCACTTTATCAACATATAATAATATGTTAAGGTGTTATTCTTTCCATTTAACCCTGTTTTTAGGATTCTTCAGTTGAATGGGTTGAGTCAAATGTGTCACAGTCATGCAACACAGAAAAGGCTTGGAAGGTCAACAAACAATCAGATGTTGTGAATGAGCCCTCCCTGCAGGTAAGCAGTCTGATAAGTACTCCAGAAATAAATCCAGCATGACTGAATGTGAAACGTGCTTAGGTTTCTTGACAGCTGTTTTGCAGTCTGTTGAACAAAACATATTTTATAGACAAATGTCTTTGTTTAGCTAGGTAATGTTACATTTCATTTATTGGATGACTTCTTTACCTAATAGTTGGTTTGTATTTAACTACACTTAAAGTTGCCTTGCACCAATGCCTTTCATCATGTTTTGAGGCCCTAGCAACTGAGCTTGGTTTCCTTGAAGAGGTCCACTTAAAGACCTTGATGAGCATTTTGTTTTTTCTGCAAAATTTCAGTGGCTGTTCTACATTTGAACAAATTTTTGCTTCTGTGATGCTTAAGCAGATACAAGGAAGAGAGGTCTAGAACTTTTAGCAACAATATTGATGGAATCAGTGCTTCTTTTGATCATCCTAGGTAAATCCTGTGCCCAGTAAGCAGTGTTTATTCTGGAAAATGGAGTCATTCTGAAATGAAGTGCTGTGATTTTAGTGACATAAATGTAGTCACATATCACGACTTTCTCAGTTGTGTGGAAATTATGATTTTTAATTTAGTGTCCAATTCCACTCCTGAAAAAAGTCCCCTTTTCTCATTCTGTATTTGTGCAACTTGTTGAAAGAAATAAAAAGGATCTCTGAATCATATCTGTCTTCTTGGAAAAGTATAAAGTAATGAAGTACAGATCCTTCTGTATGTCACGATAATTTATCCTGCAAAAACAATTTTATCCAAGCGTTTCTTGTATAAAGTGTGCCTTGTGCTTTTCTATTTTTGCATAAAGAGTTTGCTTTTGAAAAGAATATCCTGGTCATTTCTCCTTTTTGTATTTTGGCTCCCATTATGAAGAATTCTTGGTGCATATAAATCCATTTTCTGTTGGATTAAACTAAATTAGAAGATACGATCTCAAAGTGCACCCAAGATGCTCCACAGGACCAGTCTCAGACTAGTCCAGAATAATTACTTAAAAAAAAATGAGAGAGAGAGAGAGACACAGACACCCCATTCCCCATCCTCCCAACTGCAGATCTGAGGCCTATGTAGAAGTCACAGCCAGACTCTTTCCATTGATGCCTGACAGGACCAGAGGCAATAGGCAGAAACTCAACGAGTTTCTTTCTGAACATCAGGAAACAGTTTTTTAACGTGAGGGTGACCAGGCACTGGCACAGATTGCCAGGAGAGCTAGTAGAATCTTCAGCCCTGGATATTTTTACAGGCTGTCTGGTCATGGTGCTGGGCAACTGCTTCTGGGTGTCCCTGTTTGAGCAGGGGAGTTTGGCCAGATGACCTCAAGAGGTCCATGCACATCCACTTCTGATTATCCACGTTGCTTACTCATGTGGGCATAGACAGTATTGAATCACTTGAAGATAGATTATTTTTCAGTTCCTTCTCAGAGGACATGTGAGAAGTGGAATGTTGTGTTTCACGTCTGAAACTCTCTGGTGTGTTTGCCTAATACAATTTTTAAATAACAGAGAGTGTGACATATATCATCTGTTTGGATTGACAACTCAGATTTGAACGCTACTGAAGATATGAAGAGTCTTCTGCAAGGACATATTTCAAAATTGATGCAATCTTGCCATTTTGTTTGCTTTACTATCCACTGAATTGTCCCAAATACTTATTTTTGTAGAGTATGTGTATGTCACTGCTTTCTTTTGAGGCTTCAGGTTTTGTGTGCATAAAGGTAGTAGGAATATCTAGGCTTTTTATATGTTGCTTTTGTTCAGAGAGTGGTTCTCATTTTTAAAATATCATTGGTTTTGTAAATGCAGTTTTGTACCTGTTATTACGGGTACAGTTCACAGAATTCAGATGTGTAATTGTTTGAGGGTGCAGTTAGTGCCTAGATACTTGAGGTATGAACTATGCTCAATTACTGTTTGTAAATTTTGTATATGCTAGAAGGGATGGAAGAGGTCATGAACTCAGAATTAGCGAGATGAAAAGGAATTGATCTAGACGTACACTGTTTAAGTAAATAGTAAGCTTTTATATGGTTTGCTTGTTTACTGGTATCTTCATTGTGAAGATGTATTTCAAATTACAGAAAGACATTTATGAAATTTGTGTAAGTGAATATTAGAAAAATTAAAGGTTTGGCTTCCTAAAATCATGTTTGCTTTTCATTGAAGTATTTGTGTTTGTAAAACCTATGCTGTTTACTTTAAGTAACATTTGTCAGCAGTTGCACTGGTTTGATTTGTACCAAAGCCATGTTTTTGTTAGAAGTATGAACACTGATTCTTTGTGTTTATTTTAAAGAGAGAAGAATGGATGAATTTAGACTTCATGTTGTTGAAAACCACTTCATCAGCAGCTGTCAGAGGGGAACGGCACAAAGAAAAGATCTTAGAACGGCAGAAAACTCAAGAGCTTGAGCAGGTAGGAAGAATTAATAGAGCAGCTTTTTTCTGCATCTTGCTAAATTTTGTGTGATGAATGAACCAATGAGTTAGTACAAATATGTAAGTCTTTGTATAGTTTCTGGACAAATGCCTGATGCATTGTGTGGTAGTGATTTTTAATTGAATTTGTCAGTTATTTGTTCTGTTTGGGATGGGAGGGGTTCATAAAACAGGCTTCTCTTGTGGAGAAAAGCCTTTGAACTATCTTCTGTGTCAGGAAAAAGATGGTTTTGTTAGTACTAAGTTCTGTGATATCTGAAGGGCTTTTAAGATGTTTTTACTTAATAACAGTGACAGACTGCTTTTCTGGCTTTATCTCTGTGTTGTGTGGAAGGAACACCATTCTTTTGTGTCATAAAGCTTACCTAATGTACTGTGTTAAAGTTTAGGGTGCTGCGGCTTGTTTTTTCCGGAAGAAAGAATTCAGAGCAGTTGGTGTACCTTTCATGCTGCAGTTGTGCATGAACATGTGGGGAGATCAGGGTCTGGATGGGGAAGTGATTGCTGTCACTGAATTAGTTCTGTTTACATACAGTTGCTGGCTGCTTCATTTGCTCATTCAGCTCCTTAAATGCAATGCAGTCTGATAGGAAAACAGTTGCTGATCACTATCTAATAGTTACTTGTCCTCACATCTTATAGTAGGCCATTTGTTACTCTTAGATTATCCAGTTAGTTGTGTTGTGGCTAGGAACCAGGTTTACTTGGTATGCTGTTCTTGTATAGTACACAGCACTGTCTTTTGAGTATGGATTAATCTATTTGGGTGTTTTTCCCTACATAAGTTTTTGCTGAGCACTTTTTCTGAATTGTTGAAGGATGAAAGAATGTGGAGATCTTAAATCATAAAAATGTCAGCATGTATTATATGGTTAATGATGGTTTATATGTATTCTTCATCATGGAAGAATATGATTTTTATAGACTCTCCCACCCAACTACTTGTTCTCCATGCAGGTTTATACTTTTGTGCTTTCTTCACCAGAATGTATTTCTTTTTTCTTTTTTTTTTTTTTTTATACCTAAACCAATGTGAGAGCACATGCATGCAGCATGCCAGTAGTGGTGATGAATTGAAGATAGACCATAGACAAATTCAGAATTTAGTGCTGGAATGCCTCATCCTAATCCACTTCTTCAGTGGACTTCCTTGCCTGGTTCCAGAGAAATCAGTTGACAGAATCACAATAAGCAAACTTGTTTGAGGGTGAAAAGCAGGAACTGAGGTAAAACTAAGAGCCCACATAACAGTGGTCCTTCAGATGCAAGTGCTACACTGGCAGTGCCGTCAAACAGTAAAACTACTTCTGTGTAGTAAGGGTACCAACTAAGCACATGTTTGAGAACTTTGACTCAGGGTGGAGAATTAGCTTTATTTCCACTGACTTCAGACAGCAGAAGATATGAGTAAGCTGCACTATTCCCACACTGTCTCTTACAAACAGTTATCAAATATTCTAGGAAATACATGCTATGCACACATTAAAATTATTTCTGTTTAGGCCATGCTGTCTGAGAGAGAACTCAATCCCTATTGGAAAGATGGTGGTACAGGTTTGCCACCAGTGAAAGATGAGGCAACTTCAGTTAAGAAAGGTAAACAGCAACTTTTATTATGAATATTAAATTTGTCTCCAATCTCTGTGTTGCTAACAAGTTACTACTAATCTTAATGTAAAGGAATTATAATAATATGTTATAAAATAAAATCTGGGTGAAAATTCCGTAGTGAATGTTGGGGTTAATATCATAGTATGCTGTTTTGCAGAATTACTTTTCACTGCATTTTCATCTTGAGTGGTTTGACCTTCAACATCTTAACAGAAATTCTCCATTTTGAACTAATTAAAGGAAAGTATGATTTAACCAAGACAAGATAAATTGTTGTCATCTCATTTGGTTCCTTTCATTCCATTACACAAATTATAATTTTAAGATACTCATCCACAGAAGTCTGAGTCACATTAAAATGAAGTATATTACTGATTCAGTTTGTGAAAAATGTAATTTCTGTAACCTTTTCACTTTTTTCCTTACCCTAGGGCTGTTCTGCCTATAGCCAGCAAGAGCAGTTAGAAAAATATTTTTTATAATGTCATGAAGTGTTTAGTATGTGATAAGAAGGGTGCTTGTATTCTGTCAACAGGGAACAGTGAGGTCCCTGGATTTTCTCTCTTTGGGAGCCTTTTCTTGCGGATAGGCTGTCCTGCTAACTATTAGCCTCATGCCCACTTCTAGGAGTCACAGAGAGCAGTGATCTGTAAGAGGTGACAAGTATCAGTGAATATGTGCTCCAATGTTAAGACCTCTGCTAGCTTCTCAAATGGAAAGCAATGTGTTATTCAAATTTTTTGAGAAGGGGAATGCACATGTTTGTTAAGTAAGGGGTAAGCCAAAGAACGGATAGAAGAAACGCCCCCGAACTTCTCCTATGCCACTCACAGTATCACAGTATGCTAGAGATTGGAAGGGACCTCAAAAGATCATCTAGTCCAATCCCCCTGCTGGAGCAGGAACACCTAGATAAGACTCCTGTCTTGGAAACTGCTTGTTGCATTCTGTGATAAAATGGAGAAGCGTAAATTAACTCGGTGTACTACTAACATCTATCCAGCATAAGCTTAAATTAAATCAGTGTATTGCTGAAGTAAATCCAGCATTAACTTACACAAACATGTAATTGTATTACTATATTCTTCCTATTTTTCTTTTGCACCCCTTCAATTTTTACATTAAGTTAAGGCTTAATGTTTTGTACAGAGAAAGGTTAAATAGAAGTAACTGTGGGGATATAAAGCTACAACCTCTCATTGTTTTCTACTTTAGTTACTGTGGTAGAAGACGCTGGATTAAGCTGGTTACGAAAATCATACCAAAGGATGAAGGAGCAGGCTGAGAGAGAGAAACGAAATGTTGAGGAAATTGTAGCAGAGAGATACGGGGTAAGAATCTTCAGCTAAATCTTTTTTCATACTATGAAATGCTTGGAAAAGGTTGCTTTCATCTAAAGGTACAAATACTTAACATGTAGTATAACACATATGGAAAGGAGCAGGAAAAAAGAGCTTCTGAAGCTTCTCTTGAGTGATGAAGAGTTTAAAGCTACCCAGCCATTTTATCTTTCTTGTTAAATATTTTTTAATGTATGGGATCCTACACCAAATTTAAAACGCTTATCTTTTACATTAGGAGGTTCAAATGATCCCAGTTACAAAGTACCTGAGTGCTTCCAAAATTATTATATATGCTAGAAAACATATTTTGTTCTTGTGCACCTACCAGATAATAATGCACATTGAGAATAACAATAATGCCAGGGTAATTTGGAGAGCTGTGTCAGGTTTTACCGAATGTGATTCTTCTGGCCACTTGTGTTCTGCTCAGACCAGATATACAGAAAAAGCTGCTTGCTTCTGAAGGGCTTAAAAGTCTTCAAAATTTATTTTTAATAAAGCAGTCTGCAATAACAATATTAAGTCTTCAAACTTGCCCTTCCTACATATTATAGTATTGTTTTTTAAAGCATTCATTGAAGGTGTGAGGTGTTGAATTTTGGCCATGGTGTTACATTTGACTTTTCTGTGGGCTTTTTGGTAAGGCTAGGTTGGTTGTAGAAATCCTGGGTAAGATGCTATGATTCCATACTACTGTCTTCAAACTGAATTGTAGTCACTCCTGAGTGATGAACCTAACATAGTCAGTGCTGGTAGAAATTATTCAATACCAGTGCTTGAAAAGAATTTTAATTTTAAGAATCTTTCTCAAGAAGCTGGAGTTCAAACAGTGTGAGCTACTCTGTCTGCTGAAGTGCAGGACAGTGATCAAAAGAGATCCCTGTCTGACTTGCTTTGGTTTGTAATGTTTTGAGGGGAAAAAAATTAATTGGTGGATTTTCAGCTCAAAAGAGGGAAGAGGAACAGTCCATATTTTGCATAATTGCCTAATGGATAGAATATTTATCCAGAAAGCCAGAGACAGTTCAAAGACTGAAGCTAAAGATTTTGCACCCACTTTCCTGTGTTTTCAACAGATTGTAAAGTGGTTTAGTGGGAATAACCATTGCTTCTGTAGAAGCTGAGCATCTAGTGAGCATAAGTGCAAAGTTCCCGAGTAAGAAAGAGGAATCCTTTCTCCCTTGCTGAAGCCCCAAGTTTCCAGCTTGCCAGGAGGAGACAGTTCTGAGGCCCTGGTCCCTGTTCTCAGGAGGGCTTTAGCACTTTACTTTAGAGCCATGGGATGGAAGTTAGAAATCGTCTAATCAGAAAGCCTTCCCAGCAGAGTATCTTAGACATGAGGTTCTAAACTCCCTTTTTCATGCTGGTCTTCCTTTCCACTCCATGCATTGTCCATTGCACTCTGATTCATTTTCACAGAATGGTGCCTTGCTTGTAATACTCGTAGGAAGCTTCACAACACCCCATGATCTGAAAAGCAGTATGACTGTTCTATTCTTTCTTGCAGTCAATGGAGATATTTCAGTCACGATTAGATGAAGCTGAAAAAATTGCATCAAGAAAGGAAAATTACTATGGAAGCGGAAGATGGAAGAAACCTTACTATTCAGAAAGTGAGAAAGAGAAGAAAGAACAGTATATGAAAAAGGAGACACGAGATGAAGATGGTAGGAACAGGAGCACTTTTGGCAGCTATACTAGGGAGAAGTATGGCAAGGGATTGGCGCAAGAAGACAAAGATCACAAAAGAGACACACCAAGAGAAGACCAAAAACATGGACACAGTAGCACAGATTCAGTATTGAGAGGCTCCAAAGCAGAACAATATTCCCATGAAAGACGAAGTCAAGGAAAGAGTTCATCTCTAAGCAGCATGAAACACAGATTTCTGAAACCCTCTGAAGATGATTTATCATCTTCACCTAGAGTCCACGATTCACAGCAGTCCTCTTCCAAACTGACAGTTCATAGCTCTTTGAGTAGCCGTTTCCAAAAACCTAGTGAGGATACTGCACTGTGGAATAAAACACACAGAGAAGATAACAATGAGAAATTAATGTCTGATCAAAAATCATCAGGTACTAAGGAACAAGTTCATGACAATAACAGGGAAAGAACTCCAAGTAACGTAAAAGAGAAGTTGCATCAGGAGTACCCAAGCGATATCTCCGGGAAGAAACAAACATTATCTGACAGTAAAGCATCGGGTTCTAGGTATTTGACAAACATCTTTACTTGTCTTTGCTGTATTTTTCATGGCAAGGTGTACCAGAAACTCTGTCTTCTTTATGACAGTATTAGATCTGATTAAATGAGATCTTTTTAGTTAGGAAGAGGCTAGCCTTCCGGCTGAGACAGCTAAAATGGACCACTGTAGAAGTGATGGACCCCTACTTAACTTGTCTCAGCATATTTGAGAATTGCTCATGATTGGTTATTTTCTGCTTCCTTCAGTTCACACTGCAGTAAATTCATCTCTTAGGTAAAAAGCCTACAAACTGCTATCTTAACTGTTGTTTAATTTATAAAATTGAACTTGAAATGTTAGAAAATGCTGACTATAACCTGAAATAATTAATGCAGCAGGGATAGGTTTGCCACCTGTGATATGAGCTCATATGCTAAAGTAGTAGCATTTGAAAAATAGTAGAAGGTATTGACTACAAAAATGCATTTCTGTGGAAAAGAGGGAAGATTAATAGGAGTGGGAAGGGACATGCAAACTAGCAAGTGGTAGGAAATACAACCAAGAGTAGTAAGGAGAGGTTGTCAAGAAAGTAAGTGGTAGAGAACTGAGCTTTTGTCTACTCAAGGACTCATGTTTTCCAGTATTACCAGCTTGCTGGTTCTTCCAATGATGTGAACAGTGGGATTATTACTGTGACTGTTCTCCTTCAGATCTTCCCAACAATAGGTATGCATGTGCAAAAGTATTTTATAGTTAGGATGGTGTTATTTAGTTGCTTGGGAAAGCTGGATAAACAAATATTCTTGGTCAGAGTATGCAAGAAGGATGATACCTGGAAGTGTGCAAGGCTAGGTTGGATGGGGCTTTGAGCCACGGGGAGGGACACCTTCACTAGACCAGGTTGCTCAAAGCCCCATGCAACCTGGCTTGCAGGGATGGGGCATATATATCAGTACAGTAGGCATATAATATTTGATTACACAGGTAAATATGACTGTTTTTCTATGGGTTTAGTGCTGCTGGTGTTTTACAGAAACACGTCAAATGATGAGCCACCTCGGATCCTTACTGAAGAGGAGATGAACAAACTGGGAGCAAGGATTGTGAAAGCAGAACTCATGGGAGACATGGTAATGCCTATGAAAAATTTTCACGATTTACTGCAATTTTTCTTGAAAGCTGATAGTGATTTAGTTGTTTAAAGAAAAAAAAAAGTATTTAAGCAAATAAAGTCCTGCAAAATTTATCAGTTAGGACTTGAAGATACTGCTTTTACTGTAACTTCTGTTTTAAATGCAGTGGTTCTCGGACTAGAATAGAGGTTCAGGTCCCCAGGTTTTGTAGGCTAGGCAGCATAGCCATAACTTTGTTATAGTATTTAATGCGTTAAGCAGGTAGCAGGTGAAAAATACAAAGTTCCCAGTCTGTGTCGTAGACAGTGTCTGGAGCTTTTGTTGTTTCATCAGCTTTGTCACAAGTAGATGTTTGTGGTCCATAGATCTGCTGTATAAGTATAGTTACTAATTATGATATGGAAATGCAACAACTGAAAGGAACCACAAAGGCCATTACATCCAGCTCTGCAATGAGAACAATGGTTAATAATACTGTTAATTTTATATGTGCAGTTTTTCAACATACGCACTCTGAATTAGCCTATGTAAAAAAAAAAAAAAGGCAAACAAAACCCTAAACAAAACCTCACAAACAGTAATCATAACATACATAATAGATTAACTAATCTGTGCCTTGTTGCTCCTTAAATATTTTTTTTCATGGTCTTTCCTTGACCAAATTGAAATGCAGCTTGTTTAAACAAGTTCAACCACACACACTAGAATAGATGGTGATATAACAGCATGTCCTGATGGCCAGAGATTCTGGTTGACCATGTGGGACAAATGAATTCTGAATCTGTTTTTGTTACCAACTTGCTGCTTGGTGTTGCCCAAGTTATTTAATTTTGGGGTAGCAAGTATTGGCTTGATTATTGGAGTCCAAGCAATGAAATTGGCAAAGTGGTCAGAGTATAAATGGTTGTATTTCATATAGGCTGATAAGTTGTGACTTAGCAATTCTTAGCAAACCGAGGTATTCTAAAATGATTTTATTTACTTGATAAACAGATGGATGAAAAACAATTTACACAAGACCGTAAACAGTTCTTGTTTTCTAGCTCTTGTCCATTTTAGCACCTAAAGTAAGGTTTTAAGTGCCAAAGTTGGGCATGTGGTGTCAAGAGATATGAAACTGCATAGCAAAAATGTCTGAGGTATATTTCCTCAGTCTCATTACAAAGGATTATGTAGCATAACCTGGAAAGGTTATTGACTTGATGTGTTCTGGCTTCCTTGTTTTGCTTCCTATACACCTAAGCTTAGCTATGCAAAGCATTTGTAAGTATAACTGAATAATGTTGAAGCATAATTTTGGTGGGTATTTTTATGACAGTGTGTTTCTGTACTTTAAATGCCTCTGTTCTGAACATTATTTTTTATCTCCAGTAAAGAATTGTGTGAACTACATTGAGATGCTTTCTTCAGTCTTTTGTGTCATTACAGTTTAAAAAAAATAACCAAAACACAAAGAAATGGAATGAGTAGTTAATTCAGATACAAGGTTTCTGTAAGTTTTGAATGGTCAAACTAATGGAGTACTACCACTTCTTTGAAGGAGTTAGCTTCAGAACTTCAAGAAGAGCTTCAGAACGCTCGCAAATTGAGACAAACTCAAGGGCAGATTCCAGCAAATTCTGGCAGAGAGGTAAGGGGAAAATACTCTTCTTTTCTTTGCGCTACACAACGGTATAGTACAGGTAGTAGCTGAATTACAGAGAACACAAAATGTACTTAGGAAAATTACAAGGTGTGATTTTAGGTGAGTTACTTTTCAAATTGGATTGTACTTTTTGGTGGTAAACAAAACCTTCTCCATTGTTCTTTAGCAACTTCCATAGCAATTTTTTTACTGGTAGTATTTTGTAAGTAATGCTATATCTTCCATTAAAAATAAACCTTGTATGTGTCGTGTTGACTGTGCTAGCTCTGATGTTTCTGAAGAGGCTGGTGCTTCAAATATTGTTCTTTTTAAAGAGTGGTATTCAAGAAATGTAATCTTCTTCCATACCAACTTTGATATAGCTACAAGGAAACAGGATTAATATCTTCATTTATGAACTCTGTCCTCAAGATGGAGAAGAGACCTTAAGGCAAAAACTAAAGTTTTAACAATCTTTATTTTGTGAGAACCAGGGCTGGTGTTAGTCCTGCTGTTTTGGACTTTCCATGGTTTGCCAATTCAAATCGTCCAGTGAAAGGTGCCCCTGACTGTGGCAGAGGGGTTAGAACCTTTAAGGTCTCTTCCAACCTGAACCATTTTATGATTCTATGATTCCTTTAACAGATACAGCAGCGTGGTTTATGTTTGTAATTCTGTGAAGCCTGGCTCTTGAACTGCATCATGCAGAACAGTATCAACCTCTTCATAACTTGCTGTAAAGTTGCTTAACTTCTTAGGCTTGTGGTAGATTGGGAGACTCCTCAAACCATGGTGAAATCCTTAAAGTCTATTTGAAGTCATTTGGGTTTTAATTACTGCTAGGGCTTGCTTTCCAGAGGGTGAGGGTCTTCCTGTATATTTCTGAGGCTTACTGGCTTTATGAATATGCTTTGTCTGTGCCTGTTTCATGGCTACTTCTAGCCTGTATTATGTGATATCCTATCCAGTGATAGTTGCCAGGGCAGTCTTAGTGGTTTTACAGCATCTAATTGAGTTTGGAATACTGGGACACAAGCAGAATGTGTATTAAGGGCCAATTACATAACACTGTGTATCTGAACAACCTAGATGTTCCAAAACCATCCTGTAACACCAGGGGCTGATTTATGCAGATGTCGTTGATACTGTATGAATGAGTCTTTCTGTAACATTGACCCACCCCTCAAGTGATAGGCTCAGTCAGTTCAGGTAAATGTGTTGCCAGTAAGATACTTGGAACAGTTTCCACAGAAGTGGTTTTCCAAATGGATGTTTCACTGATCCCGAAGTTTGATAGCTTTGCCTCTGCTGCAAATAACAAATATGAAGCATTTTGTCTCAGGTAGGTCTGTCTCTAGTGAAAGGTGCTGAAATGTGGCTTTGCCTTATTTTCAATTCTGTTGGGAGATCTGGGGAGATGAATCAGGAAGCATGAAGGCAATTCTGAATACATCTCCCTAGGAAGGTTTTTTTCCTTCTTGACTAATTGAGCGTGGATCAATTTTCCAATTCAGTTCATGCTGTGACTGAATGAAGACCCATGCTAGTATAAGGGAGTGTGCATGCGTGGCTGGGGCTTGTACAGAGGAGACAGGATCAATTCTTTCGACAGCAGTGCTGGTTTATTTTGTGTTAAAGTGATGAAGAAACTACAGATGGACTGTCAAGTGGTAGCTTAAATCCTGGTTTTATTTATTTGTTTGTTTGTAAGTGAGAACAGAGGCAAATCTAGCTTTTATAGTTAGTTTGATTTAGACAAGGATTCTATAGCAAGGAAGCTGAAAAATGTTGGTATTAAGTACAGCTTTTCAGATACTGATGTTTGATTTTAAAAACTTCACATTAATCAGATGATATATTTCACCAGTTACAGATCCTGGTAAGACCACTTTGTTACTAGTTTACATTTTGGCTAAAGTTCTCTGTAGTTTGAAGACCTGCGGTTCATGATGCATTTAGATGTTGCAAGCAGGTATTTTGAGATGAAAGAAGCCAAAAAGCATGATGTATGCATCTTTCTGAACCTAGAATACAAGAAAATAGTAAAAGATACTGAAGCAGAAGTCCATAGCTGCGATGTGAGCGAGCCCCACTGGGTAATTTTATAGCAAAAATTTTCCTTGAGGAAAAGTTGTTTTCTTTTTTATTTTTTTTCTTTGTTCTTAGTAGTTAGGCTCATATTTCTATTAAATGAAGTGAGCACCCATGACTAATAGAGTTACAGGTTTTCTGCCTGTGAAAGTATCCCAGATTAAAATTCCGCGCAGGCTAAAGGATGTTTGGATTCTCTTGATACTGAAAGAAAATAGTAACTTTTTAGCCTTGAACCATTTTCAGTGGTATTGAAGTCTTTCTTTTATGCATTACGAACCATTTTGCCTGTATAACATTTGATTTGCTGGCCTTCCATGTGCCCAAAGTGCAGAAAAGATGAAAATTTATTAGCCATGCTTAACTTGTTTGCAGCTTTTGAGTAGCTTCATAAATAGAACTCTTGCATGAATTGAGAGATGAGTTTTTCAGTAAATTTTGGGTGGTTTGTTTTGAAGAGGTTAGTTTTAAATCTTTTTGAAGAGAGGTTTTATATATATTTCTCTTGAAGGTATCTTGTTTTTTTTTTGGTATTTCACAAGAAGTACTATGGAATGTTTTTGGGGATATTAGCTCACTGAAGTTTTTCCACATTATTCCCCCCCCGCCCCCAATTTCCAGATCATCTTAAATATTTAAATTCTCAATTGTACTTTTCCCTACTTATTTCCTGTAGCTGTTTTTTAAATAAAATAGCTATAAATAAATAAAGGTGTGTGTATATATATATATATGTATGTGTGTGTGCGTATGTATATATACACATATACATGAAACCTAAATGGAAGATAGGTGATTTTTAATAGCCTCTGAACTGTTGTGCTATTGTAAGTATTTTCTTAGTTAATTGTGCTAGGAGAGCTAAGAAGCATTGCTATTATCAGGCTTAATGTCTAAGAAGATAGAAATTTTCTGCTCTACAGTAAGCAGAGGGACTGTGGGAGGACACGGGTATGTATCAGGTTACCCTAAGTTTTTCCCTATTGAGGGAAAGGCCCTCAACAACAAGGCTTTGTGAAACAGAACACAAGACTAAACAAGAAGATAACTGGGGCCACGAGGTAGAGTTTCTAATATTTCTTCACACCTCTAAGTGTGTCAATATCTGATGTCCTTAAGTTCATCATAGATTATTTTCTGTATTACTAAGTAAACATTTTGATTCTAATATCTCTATATTGAAACATGAAATTCGATTGGAACAAAAGTTTAAGGGCTCTAGACACTGAACAAGCCTGACTTATGGCACATTGGATTAGATTGCTCTCATGGGATAGAGGCTCTCTTTGTGTTGTAAATGGAAAGTCTGTGACTAAAGGCACTAATGCAAGTGCACAGGTCTCTCAGCTGGTTTTGTGTGCTCAGCTCTAGTGAAAGACGTCATCTTGCCTGAATGTACCACCCTGACAAAGTCCACAGACAGAAGTTAACCGACATGATGTGTCTGCTGCACGCTGCCTGGATGGCTCAGCTTGGGTAGACCTCCTTGTTGTTCACTGCAGGTTACCTTAAGCGTGTAGTCCTATACATTTTAATATGATTATGGTTATATTATCTGTTAAGTGAAATTTGGGGCCCTAATGGCTACTCTACCTACACACTTGAGTTGTATGTTGTCACAAGGGTGATTTAATATCTAGATTGTGCTTGTTTTGCCTTTACGCTTGGGCAGGAGGCAACCTTCAGAGTCTATTGAAATGAAAAAAAATGGGTCATGTGCAAAAGAGGCATCTGGGATGTCTGAAAGGCCCAAACCGGAATGAAATATTTTTATAGGTAGGAGTACATGGTTGTTATCTTCAGATGCTTATGTCATGGGCATTTTGAGAAAAGTGAAGTTGCACTTTGAGCCTTAGTGAAGCTGTGTAAGAGTTGGCTGCTGCACCATAGGGTTTCTGATTTAGGATAGGTGATGAAAATGAGTATTTAATGAATTTAAGGAGACAGAAAATTGTGGAGATTGCAGCATTTAAAAAAACCTTCCATGTGTTCATGGCTTACCTCTAAGTACAGTTTGTGTTTCTCTTATCTGAAAGTGTTACACAACTCTTGATATGAGTGCATTGGTTATGAGGATGTCACCTCTACCATTGTCAGTACCAGTCATAACTGATGTAATTTATGTTTTTATTGTGTATTATTACTTAACCGAATATATCTTGAACATTAATAGTCCTTTGAGGCCCATCATTTGCAGTGGTTTTTAGGGGTACAACAGATGGGAGGTAAAATTTAAATGAGTAAGAGGCAGAATACAGAATATTTAAGTTAGAAAGGACCTATAATGATCATGTAATCTGACAGTCATTTAGTCCAAATTGAAAAGGCAGATTGAAAACAAGTGAAAGAAAAGGTGATTCTTCAAAAAATGGTTGCTCCAGGAAGTTATGGGTGATGAGAGCTTAAGTAGGTTCAAAGAGAGATTGGACAATGTTCATGAAAAACAAATTCCTTGAGAATTGCACAGAAATGATGTCTGGCTTTTAATTGCTGAGTTACAAATGCTTGGAGGCATCCTTTCTTTTTGTACTCTTCATTAGGCATTCACCTTTGACTGCTGCTGGAGAAGACGTTGGATTTTGGTTTGATCCAGCATAACTGCTTTTATGTTTTAGTCTGCATGTAGAAAGTGTTCTTTATGTCAATTCTAAATAATTTATGATGTGCATTATTTGTATGCTTTGCTTTTTCATTTTTTTCCCAGAATTTCATTCGCCTTATGCTTCATTTATATCTTATATATAAATTTCCCAGAATTTCATTCGTCTTATACTTCATTTATATCTTATACTTCATGGTCGTTGCATAAGAATTAGAGTCAAATCTGCTAAATGAAGAAGAGTTTGCTTTTGTGTTGCTACAAACTGACTTAATTGTGTTTATTTTTTTAATCAGGAAGTATATTGACATGATGC